GAAGTTTAATTAAAATCAGCAACAAAAAAAAACTGCTTTATTTAAAAATTCTGCTTCTTTAATGTAAGGGTTTACAGCTCAGGCTTTAACTTCTAGAAAATTGTGAAACTAACATTTTCCCAAGTATTTTCTGCAGTTGACAAACTGCACTCATTATTCTGTAAGGGAACTGGAATTAAATGTAGTATACAAGTAATCAGCAGCAGATAGTTTCAATTGAAAATAACTGCTTTGCGAAGGTGCTTGGAATGAGTTTGCAGTGACTGTAGGGAAATTTTTTTACATGCAATTCAAGATTCAAGTACTCATCCAGAAGCTCTCTTTTGATGAAATAATCTTTATAGGGATATGGTGATTCTCTTCAATCAGCGTGATGATTATCATCATTAATTATTCCTGATAAATATGCATACTGAATGCAGTACAGGAGTAAATTTAAATGGTGTAGCTTGACAATCTGCTACATGGGAGTCAGACTCTGAAACTCCTCTACAGTCAGAAGACTAAAAATGAGGGTAAGAAGAATGGAGCAGTCACGAGTGGGGATCTCTTCAAGAAAAGAAAAGAGGATGTAGATCCTGCCTAAACCACTCATAAAAATAAGCCATCAACATGGTGCCTATCTTATAGACATCTAAGATCTAAAGCTCCTGCCTTAAAAAATAAAAATGAAAAAAAACTTTGATACCTCTGTTTTCCATTGAAAACTGTCACCCACTGTGCTAGGGGTTTATAGTTTCATAGTTAAGAGGGAGATAATACCACAGTGTTAAAGCTATTTGATAACAAATATATTTGTTATAAATGCAGGCATTTCCATTTCTATTTCATATATCAATTATTAAACTTACATTTAAGATTATGCATGTTTTCTCCTATTTGTGAAGTGCTTTAAAGTGAAATGCTTTGGGTGTGCCTAGATGAGTATCCTAGCTCAGATCAGGAGCATGAGCTCTTCGGAAGCAAATCTCCCTCACATAAACTGGATTCCTTCAAGGTAAAACTAAACTGAAGATGTATTCCAGGAATGTACCTCAGGATCTCCATCTGCAAACAGGCTATCGAGCTAAAGGACAAGGCCAGAGTTACTCCAAAACAAGAAACAAAACAAAACACCAAAATCTGCTGGAAGGGGTATGGACATCAGGTTCTCAGCACCAGGTGTTTCGCTCACCCAGTCCTGTTGGTCTGTGGTGCTTGCTGGTGTAAACAGAGCTCCTATGCCCTGTGATGATCTGAAGTGACACCATTTGAATCATGTTCAGAGAGCTTGTGAGGAGCAAGTTAAAAGTCATGCTGCTAGTGACAGGTAAGTTCTGAAAGGAAGGGGCACACTTAAAAGGAAAAGAGTGAACCTTTACTCCTAGGTACTGAAAATGTAGATTTCAATTTTCATGAATAAAGATAGAACTTAAACTGTCGAAAGGTCAAATCCTCATTGATCCATCACTTCAGGATTTAGGGATACGAGTTGCCAGGAATTTAGGTGGATTTACTACTTCCCCACCTATTCTTAGATTACAGCAGTGATTACTGCAGTCAGGGGATATTAACAACCTAACCTGAGACAGCATAAAATCTTTTATATCCCTTACAAACAGATAAAGATACATTGCTTACTATCGCTCCTGGGATTTCACGCTGGTATAAAGGGCAGCAGACTGTAAAGCTACTGGGACCCACCTCCAACAATAAAGCCATTAAAGAGCTCGAAGCAGGCACTTTTAAGAACCAATATTATTATTATTTTTTTTAAAGGCAGCCTTTGGGCAGCGACACCACACAAAACCACAGCTCTYGGCTCAAGCTAAGGGCGATGCCTTTGGCCATTACCACAGTGCTGGTGTCCGAAGCCGGTGGCCGCAGGAGAGCCGGCAAGGCCAGCGGCGAGGCCAGCCGGAGGGGAGCTCTCCCGGTTGGACCTGGCTCTCCCAGAGGAGAGAAGGTGCCGCCAGAGTCGGCTCTGCCGGCAGCGAGAACAGCCTGGCACTTGGCAGTCAAGGATCACAAGCCAGGCTTTATTTTGTCCCCTCCTAAAAAATCAGAAGCGGTGGTGGTTGTTTGGAAAGGGAAACATCTGCAGTGTTACCGCTGGAATTTTATTATGCTTAATAACTGGGTATCGGCAGCTGCCAGCAGTGCTGCTGCCAGCAGTGCTGGGGTCCAGCTGAGCGCGGCCGCCAACAAGGCCAGAGGGCCGACGGGCAGCTCCCCACGGCAGCCGGGTCACTCAGGTAACTGCTCACAGCGGCTTGAGTGGAGAGGGAGGGCAAAGCGCTCTGCTTGCCCAGCTGCCAAAATTCAGTCACTAACTCAGCAGAGATCCCTGCATCCAACTCAACCAAAGTTCTTCTAAGGTACCTAAAGTACAGTGTGTTCAGCAGATAAAGCCTGCCTTAAAGTCAGACTTTTCAAGTGTGTTCAGCAGATAAAGCCTGCCTTAAAGTCAGACTTTTCAAGTCTATATATTGGTTTGAAATTGTTATTTATACTTCTATAGGTCTGCTATGCTACTGCCTGCATGTATTACAGAGTGACAGAAGCCAAGTACACTGAAGAGCCAAAATATTTTCATTCAGGTAACTTTGTAGTAGCACCTATTTAAAGAACATATAACTAGAATGAAAATGTTCATGTGAAAACATCGATCTCAGAGCCTTCTGTGGTTTGAACAGGCTATGTATAAAGAACCTTAATTTCATAAAATAATAGTTTCTGTAGAYAGTTTCTCACCACTTGAATGTTATTTGTGTGGTTGTCTAAAAGTATTTGCCTCGATATTTTTTCCACGGGAGTTAGTATTTAAACTGATTTTTTTAATCTCTGCTCACATGATTGTAATTAACAATTTTTAAAAGCATCCTGTTCCTCTGAAAAAGAAAAATAACTAGCTCTTATCTAAATGACTATATATCTAAGAATATATCTAAGAAGAATATATCTAATATCTAAGAACTAATAATGCATTAGTCAGGTTGCAACCCTTATTTGCAGGCAAAGCTCTCAACTGTTCAGGAAAGTGGTATTTTAAGCTCTAAAATAGTCTGAATATTTCACTTTATTTAGTCTTGCTTTTCTGCTTCCAGATATTTTAAACATATATATACACTTGATTTTAATAGACACATGGTAAGGCAGGAAAATGAAAGGCATTTCCGTAAATACAAAAATGACAATTTTTGCTTATGCAGTAATGAGCAGCATTATCACATGTGTTTCCTTCCTGCAGTGGAAATTTAAAGTCTACAGTAAATACAAAACTAGAAAATGTTCATCAGCAGASAGCAGGAAGAGAACTGTTCAAAGCCACATGCTGACAAGGTCTCTTGGCAGAAACCTGCTTCCTTTGCTCTCTGGAGTTTTAACTGTCCACTACTGTGAAACCTGAGATCTTTGCAACAGGGCACCAGTAAGAGCATCTTAACCTAGGGCTTTGCTCCATCACTTTTTCCCTTGTCAAATACGATCACAATTAGTAATCAATACTACCACAGTACAGAATAGAGTACAAGATATAGTAAGATACAGCTAGGAAACTAGTAGCCTCTAAAATGCTCTGCATTACCCTACAGACTTAAGACACAAGAACCACTGCTGTCAGGAAGCTCTGGGATCCCTAGTTTAGATTGCGGCGTGGCTGGGGCTCATCTCAAACTTGCAGGRTTTTCCCTGTCAGATAATCTCAAGAGCCGTACAGGGAAACCAAACTGTASGCCCAAGACAATACTTTTCAGAGTTTTCTTCCCTCCTCCCCGGCTTAGTTTTTATCATAAACTGCCTACTGAGGCCAAATTCTGCTGTCCTTTGGCAGGACCAGAAGTACTGAATGGAAATAAGGATCAGYATTATGTTGTGAAATCGTGATGTGAATCCTTCTGGCTACTGCTACAGTAAACTGTGTGGACTGTTGTGACTCAGCATGCAGAGAGTATAAACTGGTACTCCTGCTCTTCTCTTTATCCTCTACTATTCCATAAAGCCTGAAAAGGATGTATGCTTAAATAAAATGTTTTGCAGCTTCCTCCTATGTCCTGCTGTGATTTACTGGCTCCTATTAGGAATCAATGCTGGAAACTAAGGGATGTGTGATTATGCATTGCTGTTCCTTGGAGCTCAAATCCTTACTTACAAAATTCATTAGCAGAGTAGACGTGAAGGGAGAATTAGAATAAGGATGTTATTGAGGACAGCATCATGATAGAGTATAAATTTTCCCCCCTTTTGGTTTTGGGAGATCTGTTAGTGCTTTGCTGACTATGTAAGTAATTTGTGAAGAAGTCAAGTGTGCAAACTAAGGGCTGCAGGGGACTCCTAAGTCATGGTGCGTTACGAGGGGAAAACTAAAAGGCCTGCAGGAGCTTTAGTGCTCCTGCTCGCTGCTGTGAAGCGCTGCAACACAAGCAGTTTCCTAAAGATAGCCACAGCCCCTTGGGACACAGAGATGCTTCCCCAGCCACTCTGCCTCAACGCTGCCTATTAAGGAACTCCTCTCTATTAAACATGCCACCTCAAATTCCTGCCATTTTGCCCCTTCCAGGAATGCACTACAAAGAAAGCAATTTTCCTCTCTGTTTTTCATGGGTCACTAGTGCCCTGATGCAAAAAATGAAACTTTGACCCAAAAAAGCATTGCCCTAAAGATAGGATTTAGTGGTTAGCCTTTAATTCAACAAGCATAGAAGACAAAGCTGGCGGCTACGCTTTTAGTCTCTAAAAGTGGAACAGTGACTCTTTTGTGAAGAATCTGAAACATTATGCTTATAAGCACAACCAGGACTAAACTGCTCCTYCTCCAAAATCGTCTTCCCCCTTTGTGGGAGATGAAAAAAAAAAAAAAAGCCTTTCTGCTATACCTATCTCTAATTAGCTACTGTACACATAGGGAATGAGGGAATGCTGCTGGGCTAGCATGGCACAGAGGTTTAGTGAAAACATGGCACATCTAGATGACTTGCCCAAGGAAAAATATGGTACCTGAGGGGACTGTAACTGGTACTCACACTGTGAACTCCCAGAGCTTTCCAGATGGCAAAACTCAGCAGTCCAACTCCACACCACGCGTACAAGGAGCCCCATCCTAGGGCTCGCAAGGCCAGCGACGAACCGCTCTCTGGTAGCACAGCTGTGGCCGTAATTCCCTAGGATTTGCAAAGGAAAGTGATCAAGGGAACAGAAATGGAGTAACAAACAAAAAGCCCTGTAGGCTACAAAGGTTCAAACAGTGCTCCAGAAGTTTGTCTGATGCTCCAGCTGTACTGGTGCAGCTACAGAAACTCTGCTAGGGACAGCAGCAGCCCCAGAGAGCCCAGMAAGGGGCAGTGAGACCATCTTCCCACCAAATGCCAATGAGACAGCAACTTGGCACGCTCTGGAGCCCTACATTAAGGCACTGCAGGGTCACAGGTTCCTCAACTAAGGTCAGTCATCTTCCAGGGATTTCTTTGCCTAGTTCACATGAGCTTCCAGGAACAGGTTCCGAGGTCACCGGAAGCACCAGGGGATGATTTGTGCTCCCTCAAAAATACTTTAGTCAAGTTTTTTGTGGGCAGAACAACTGGGCATTCAGTTATTCCACCAGTCACAACACAAAACAGGTCAGAAATAACAGCACGCCTTTTAAACCATTTTTTACAGTTTCTATAATTTAACATTCTTTATAGTTCAGATACTTTAGAGCCGTCCAGGAGCTGTGTTCCCACAGCATAACGCACCCACAGCATAAAGCACCAAAGAAGAATAGTGCCTCAGTCCTGACGGAGACCCAACATGAGGAACCCTTCCTGCCACGCACATAAGCACACAGTGCAGCTACCGAGGGCATAACAGTGTGCCAGCCAACATCAAACAGTTCACACTGCACGCTTACAATGAGCCACCCATTCTCGCCACGTGGCTGTGGTGAGATGCCCACTGCAGTGTATTTATTTCCCATTACGCAGCTGCAATCCATGAATCCTAGAGTAACAAAGAGACAACATCCTCCACGCATTCCTGGGGTAAATATGAGTAAAAGAGTTTATTTTCCTCATGAATTTTACTGTACAATTCTTCACACAGAAACACAGATCTTCACAGGAAATAGTCAGGTCTCCCTAACTAAGGATATGTGGTCCTTACACAATTATTGATCAACTAATCAAATCAATGAGTAAGATATATCAAACAAATGAGTGAACAAGCATGCAAATATATTCAATAAAAATATTTAATTTATAGCGTAAAATTCTGAAAAGTATAATTAAAAAAAATCCTCCAAAACATGCCACACTCATGCACTGTTCTAGTCTTTATTCCTCACAAAAAAAAGGGAAAAATATTTTTTGTTTTCTCTTAAAGATTTTTCTAAATCTAATCTTTTCTAAAGATTAGAATAAAAATTTTGCTTTCTTCTTTGATGTAATTAAGCATATGTACAGCACCTACCCTTATGGTATGGTATTTCAGCAAGTAAATAGCATCAGTAGTTTTTGGGGGTGTTTTTTTTTTTTTTTTTTTTTTGGTCTTGGCTTTATATTTATCAGAATGTTAAAATGATCCTTAGACAATCGTCAGCATTAACACTTTTTCTTAGGGTATCCTCCTAGACATAGTTGTCCAAGGACAAGTGCACACTTGCAACGTTATCTTGATCCTTATTTATTCTGATTTGCACATCCCAAAATGGAAGCTGATAGAKACAGTCTAAAGACATTAAGCCCAATCCTGACCTGACATGTGCTCAGTCTAAAATTTGGACATCGTGCACAGACACAAATAATAGAGATCTGTAGTCACACCACTAAACTATTTCCTGTTATTGCTTTAACATAACAAATAAACTTTCATAATTCCTTCGGTAGAGAYTGTATTGAATATATTTAAAATTCCTGATGATTAGGCAACTGAAAGAAGAATAATGTCATATACACAACAGTTAGAATTTCTCAGGCTTAGAAGATGGGGAAAAACATGGACAGAAATATTCTCCACACAGAATCTTTAAATAGGCATCATTATCTGTGAAAATTGCTGGGAGGCGGGGGGAACGCTATTTAAATGCTTGATTGCCCCAGAGAAAAAGCAAAAATGGAAACAATTGATCTGGCTTTACTGACAGCCCCAGTCAAAGGGTGTTCAGTCACAAGCTGGTTCCTCAGGGGTACTATGGACACAGAGGGAGATTTCTGTAAGTAACACTGTTTGTCATGTGATTATCATAAATGTTGATTTGCTGTTCCAAGCATCAAGAAAATGGATTAACAAAATGCTAAAAAAAGAAAAAGACAACAGAAAAACAGTATGRGGGAAAAACATGCCGCCAACAAAATATTTTTGAAAGAACAGTTGTATTCATGAGCTTGTTATTCTATGTACACATTATTTTCATTACTTCTATTTTTTTAAAAAAAAAGAAACTCTTTAATTCAATAAATAAGCTATTAGAACAATGCTTCAGTCTTTTTGAAAAACAGATTAGGAAAATATAGGAYAGTATTAAGCAATTTGGTTCCCAAAATGTATCACAGAATCACAGAATGGTTGAGGCTGGAAGGGACCCCTAGAGATCACCTAGTCCAACCCCCCTGCTCCAGCAGGGACACCGGAGCACGGGGCACAGGGCGGCATCCAGGCAGGTTTGGATGATCTCCAGAGAAGGAGACTCCACAGCCTCCCTGGGCAGCCTGTGCCAGGGCTCTGGCACCCTCACAGGGAAGAAGTTCTTCCTCACATGGAGATGGAACTGCCTGGGTTTCAACTTGTGCCCATTTCCCCTTGTCCTGTCACTGGCCACCACTGAGAAGAGTTTGGSCCCATCCTCTCTACCTCTCCCCTCAGGTATTTATACATATTTATCAGATGTCCTGTCAGTCCTCTCTATATGAGCAGGAAGCAAAAGAACTGTTTTTTTTTTTCCAGACACAGGCTTTGGTTCTGTAACTGTCCTCTTGAGGATAAGATCTGTGTCTGAAAGGAAAATATAATGGAAAATATAATAAAAATATAAATCTAAAATAAATTATATGCTCAACTGCTATGGTTGATTGCATTCACTTTGCTCAGTTTTATATGACTTAGTCAACTGTAAAATTAAACACCTGGATAAATGCTGGCTCCTGGACACTTACTGGGGCGTCTTCAGCATTTAATTTTACCCTGTGAAAAGAATAATTTCTTAATTGAAGATCTCTGCAGCAATTTATCACAAAACAAGAGTATGTTATCTCAGTTTTGGGTAAATTTGCGCTCTGGATTTACAAATGCTTACAATATTTTATTATCTTCACTACGAATGAAGGTGTACAGTAAATTCCATTTCCACTTAATCTCTTGCCCATAACTTGACTCGCTACTCTGTGAGACTGGGGTCTTCAGCTTCCTTGAAGGCTCAATGTAGTCATGAAGCTGACTGTGACGGTACAGCCTCCCCACCACATCGCTGTGTTTTCTTCCATACACCATTTACATTTGTCCCAGGCTGTATTATGCTTGCTGCTTCTTTCTGCTTTGACTTGGATGCTGCCGTTTCACAGACACAACAACTGGCATGATCCAGGAAAGATGCTGAAAGAACAGATCTTGTGCTGCTTGCCAATATCAACTACTACGTCTCACCCCACAGCTTCATGACAGCAGTCACTGTGGTCAACAGTGAAAAGGAGTTAGAAAACCAATCTGGATTAATACTAAGGCARGGTAAAAATAAGTATAATTAATAGATTACCACCTCACCAACCTAGGATTGCACAGGTACAAGCACAAGAATGAATTACCACGAACTAAAGCATGATATAGTTGCTTCTTTGAACAGCAATGTTGGCTTGTGCTTGCTTAAAGTGACTAAGAAACTACGGCCTCACCTTAAGAAGGATAAAAATAATATTTGGAAATTGAACATCTGGAAAGGGTACACTCTTCTTTAGTTACCGATAGTTACGCTTACATTACTCACCTGCCAGCACTGTGACAAGATGCATTTTTTTCTATATTTCACAGAATTTAAGTTGAGAGGTGCAGAAGTTACAAACATTTCTAGTAAACTGTTGGAATTCATACAGAGAATAACAGGCACAGATTTTCAGCAAAAAAAAAAATGTATGGTATGTATCATTCAGTGCCATTCCCAGCATATATATTCTTGCAATGTCAAGTTAGTGTCACTGTTGATAAATTTCACRCTAATGCTGGAACAGGTCAGACAGCCAAGAATATACAGCATTGAAATTGTGCTATCTTGGAAAAATGCAACGCCCAGGAAAAAATATGTTTAAAAATAATAACAAGAAATCCACCAAAAATAAGACAGAAAAAAAAAAGCTTCTTTCTTGTAATACATTTCCGAAGCTTATGGAACAACTTCTCATAAAGTTTTACCTATTTCAAATAATAGATCCACACGGATTGTTAAGCCTCTATTTCAGAATCTTAGATTTCTAGAATTAATGATACAATAAGAAGTTACAAAAGAAACAAATGCGTAACCTATGTGTGAAGACACTGGAACTACACTTGTACACTGAGAAATTTTAATAAAGAAATATTCGTAACTACTGCCTAGTTATTTCTTTTTATTCCTCAAATTACTTTTTCCTCACAAAGTAAACTTTACACTCTAAGGTTAAAAACATCTGATCTTTGTAAGACTGAGAAAATTAAATCTGTTACTTACAAAATGCAACGCTAACTCAGAGAGAAGCACAAATAGTTTCTATAACCATCCTGATTTATTTTCTAAAACTTGTATTTCACTGGTTGCTAAAGTTTATGGTCTCAAAAAGTCTGCTAGAACTGTGCCTACTGCCAGAAGACAAATATCTCCTGCTGCTCCTGAATATAATGACATTAAAAAAAAGAACCCCCTAAGTTTTCCACTATTGATATCCTCCGTTATTTATTTAAAACTGTCAAGATCTTTCTATTCATTTCGTGACAAGACAGCRGCTTCTTCCTTTATGATTATAACAGTATCAGAAGGAAATTGGGAATTGGTGCTGAAAGGCCAGTGGATATTTGGCAGTTCTTACAGCAGCCTAAAGAGGAAAATATGATGGCAAAGGAAAGATACTTCTTGAACCACAAAAGAAGACTRTTCAGTGAGACACAAAGTCTCTGATAAGCTTACTGCTACACAAAAGTGCTGTTTTTCTCTTGTGTTTTTATAAAATTAACATGTGAACAATAACTTTGTTTTCAGCTCCCTCAAAAAATCTATAATAGCTATTGTATTTTAAGGGAATTTAGTAGTGCAGTAGAGACTGATCAGTTTTACAGGCCTATTTTTGACATGGTCAGCAATATCAAAGAATGAAGGAAAAAAGTGTTCTTCATTTAGATGTGCTATACTTTAATTTACAGACATGGTATAATTGTTGCTTTTGTGTGCAGTTTTTTTTT